TCAGAATACTGAAATCTGTATTTTATGTCACCTTTTTTTCCTTCTAATTTGTTATTATTTGGTGCAGGCACGAAACATACTACCAATAGAAATACATTGCGAAATCGTGTTGGTGAACACGAATCAATAGATTAATTTCGTGACTATAACACGAAATGCCGTGAGACTGTGTTGTATAATTACAGAGCCTGTCCATTTATAAATTGAGGAATTCAATGTTAGTCTGTTAACCAAAGTGCAGCCATCTAATAATGTACTATCTATTATTAAAGATCAGAGGAAAAGAACAGAATGAGAGGGGTAAATCCGGAATAACAATAAAGAAGCAAAGAGATTGTAGAGCAGTGAGAAGGAAAAAAGCTTGGTGTGTCAATTCATTACATTGCCAGTGTTTTTCGTTGTTGTGAAAAAAAATCGCCCCCTCAGATTTTTTAACAGCCCCCTCAGTCATTTCATCCTGGAGCCGGGCCTGATGAGTAGGAAGGGTTTATAATTATGTTTTTGTTATTGGTATTTAAACTGATAACAACAAGAGAAAAAATATATATAAATGGTCAAATTAAATGTGGAATATGATCCACATTATCCACTACTACACCTTATTAGACAGAAACACATCTTGAATACAGAAAGGTGGCAGTAATGCACCTTTAACGCTTTTTACCAGCCGCCATTACACCGTAAAAAGAAGACGACGAAGAAGAAGAAGAAGAAGAAGAAGAAGTTTACAGCAGTGGGCGTGGCTTGTGTTCTGATCACGTCACTAGTGGACAGTCCACACACAGGGGGTGTTTCTCAATCGCGAGTAAAGCTGCTTCAGAGCCACTATTTCAAGCATACTACGTCATCGAGTGCCGCCGAAGTACTGTTCCAATCTCCAGCATACTTGGAAATCTACCGAGCCCGGCGTACTCCGTTTGGAGAAATATCGAGTGTGCACATGAGTAGACTTCGCGGTCTTAAAATCCCCACAATGCTTTGCGCACGGACCAATTTCCCCAAATCTGGAGAAGGGTCTAGCTGCGGCCGCGGCCAGTACACGACACTACACGACACGCCCACTACACGACACGCCCACCTGACATGACACTACGGTGGCTGAGAGACATTACCATACATGGCAGATTAAAAGCGAATTGACGACACTGACGCTGATGCAAGGATATTTAAAGAGACATGAGGTTCAGAGAACAGACAAACAATATGGCGCACCGAGTACAGGTAATTAACGTATTGTGGTTTTAGATATAATTACATACTATTTAGGTTCTCGTTTGTTTGTCGATGTGGCTGTTTAGCGCAGTGTAATTGTGTTTATTTAGCTAATTTGTATTTTAAATATTAAATGTAAAGGAATGGAATACATATAAATATATATATATCTTAGCTCTTAGCTTGACATGCTCGACGTTCAGTTAGCATATATGCTAACTGAACATGCTCGTTCAGTTAACATGTCAAGCTAAGAGCTAAGATATATGTATATATTTTAGCTTGACAGATGGAACAATGCATGTACTCGCATTTTTACAAGAATCTGATTTTAAATATTCATTGAAGGTGTCTTTCACATTTGAATGTTTTAAAAAAAAAACATGTATTAGCTGCTATACTGACATGCACATATGTATAATTATATTATTATTTTAAGTGTGGTTTAAAGTTAAATGATATATAGTTATTGGGTAGAGCCAAGTAACCCAGGTGGATGCAATCAGGCCTCTGTTTTTAGATGGGGTTTGTGGCCATGCTGTAGGCCTGACATTTAAACCATAGACTGTATATATAAAGATTTAAACTAGCTGAAGGGCTTTCTGTTCGAACCACAGTGACATCTAGAGGTTGTTTTGTGCATAACATGTCAACCAAAAAGGTAGAGCTGGCTGAATCAGATGGAGTTAAACTTTTTTTTTTTTCAACAAGATATCAAGACACAAAATGTGCTCTACCAAATGGTGGCGCTGGCAGTTAAAGGGTTACCTTCTGAAAGTGAGGAAGTATGACCAGCTTTGTCCCATAGGATTATACAGGCCAGTCCATTGCTGCTTGTTTAAGGAGTTAACTATTTCCAATATTAAAGTCACTGAAATTGTATTCTATTTTATTCACCTATAGACAAACAACACAACACTCCGTGATGGAGCACGCCCAGAGCTCAACAAATTGGACTCGGACACCTTCCAGTGTCCATTTTGTGAAAGGACCGGGTCATACCCTGGTCTGATGGCTCATTTGCAGAGCCACCAGAGGGCACTTGTGAAATATGGAGGTAAGTACATCTATAATTCTATATGATCATTGTATACTTCATCACATTACATTACATGTTACTTGTTAGATGTGTTTAATGCCTCACACATTATGGATACATGTGTTATTTCTGTGCCCCAGGACATCCTTGGTGTAAATTCATTTTGAATTATAAATTGAACATTAAAAATTAGATTTATATTCAGGTTATGAAGTGTTAATAATGCTGGAAAAATATCCTTATTTGGGGTAGGCACAATATGAGCATAATCACACATTCAATCTGCAAAAAATCAGTTTATAGGCAAAAATATTATTGTTGGTGACATGATTATTTATTGCTCTCGCACAAACACCTTGTTTCAAATTGCATATTTACAAGAAATTCATGTTGGTTTGTTTCTAGAATCCTCTAAACCACTTTCTGTCTCTTTTTTTTAGGTTATAATGTTTATAAATGCCATCTCAAATGTGTGGCCAGCAGCCATTATCACTGTGGCTTTTGCCCAAGAATCATTGGGAGAAAGGAGATGTTTATTAGTCACTTTAAAAACTGCTGCACTGAACATCCAACTACGTTGGCGGCGGCCCCAGCAACCACAACGACTCCTCCAGTGATGGCCCCGACGGCCGCTCCAGTGATGGCCCCGACGGCCGCTCCAGTGATGGCCCCGACGGCCGCTCCAGTGATGGCCCCGACGGCCGCTCCAGTGATGGCCCCGACGGCCGCTCCAGTGATGGCCCAGACGGCCGCTCCAGTGATGGCTCCGACGGCCGCTCCAGTGATGGCTCCGACGGCCGCTCCAGTGATGGCTCCGGCTGCTGCAGCAACATGGCACAATATTTCCACAGCCCCCAACATTTTGATGTCAAAGCGCAAAACCACAACATGTTGTTTTTGTAGCCTACAACTAAAAAGGAACATTTTTCACATGATGTTCTGTTCAATAAATGTTCATTGAGGAAAACGGTATCAGTGTCTTATTGTATATTCACCACAGTGAATGCAGTGAATGCTGAACTTGCCGGACCATATACTGTAGTTGAAAGTACACAATGAAACACTGGCTTGCTTGTATCAAATCAATACAATTCCCACATGCCCTACCCCGGAACCTGCGGTCTTCAGACTCTGGCCCCCCGCACCAACCTGCGATCCTTCGGGGACAGAGCCTTCAGTATGGCAGCCCCCACTCTCTGGAACGCTCTCCCTGCGGAGATCTGCAACATCCCCACGCTTGACGCCTTCAAAAGGGCCCTCAAGTCTGCCAAGGTCTTTGGCCCCAAATCTATTTGTGTTGTCTGTCTAACTGTTCGTCTAACTGCCTTTTGTTATGTTTGTTTCTACTCCTGTTCTTTTTAAAGCGACCTTGGGTCTCATGAAAGGCGCTATATAAATCCAAGTTATTATTAATACATCATTGGAACGGTAAGAATCTCAGCTACAACACTGACTAAAGCCTTCCCATCTCCAGTATGCCTACATGACAAGCATTTTTATAATATACAGTAAACATATCTTTGATTTATTAGAGAAGAGACAATCATCAAGCCAGATACCAAGGTATTTACAACAGGCAACCACTTCAATTACTTTTCCTTTATGTTGTTATTTGGTTTTTATTAGTGCTTTTGTCGTTTTGAAGGAAATTAAAATACTGTATTGAGTTGGTTTCTTCTGTTTTGGAAGCCTTGTATATCTTTTTGGTCTTGTTAGAAATACCCCATGGTAAAACAGTGTTCTAGCAGCAGTTAAAGAAGCTTAGTTTGCTGTCTTAGACTGCCAGTTGTATTAAGATGGTTTGTTCACAATTTACACATAAAACCTAAATGTTCATCTGTTTATTGTTCTTCTTCCTTTATATTCAAAGCATGTTGATTGTCTATTGGCTATATCTTGACATTATGTTAATTTGATCATACTTGCCATACATTTATTTTAATTTATGCGATTCCTTCAAAGGTTTTGTAATAGACCCCTAGTACTTTTAATTTATAAAGTAATAATAATACATGTGAATGATTGAGCTCATTAGTGGCCTGACTGGCCCTCCTAATTTGTTCCTTAATGACCCCATGATGTGATAATGTATATCTTAAAACCTTTAACAACTATATTTAGATGTTCACAAATATCTACATTTATGTATAAATACATGTGTAGCAGTTAGACAAACATAATCAATAGATCTCATTAATACCTATTTTATATATTAAAAAAAAGTTGACTAAACCACCGTTTGTTGACAAAATGATTTGGGTTGAAAGTTATACTGTTGTGTCTCAAACGGATAGACTAGGTTATTCATTTATTTGCCTAATAGTTGCTTAAAATGCTACAATAACATTTGCAATTCGTTTTTAATCTGCCATGTACGATCTCAATAATAATAAGTGTCGTCAATTCGCTTTTAATCTGCCATGTACGGTAATGTCTCTCAGCCACCGTAGTGTCGTGTCAGGTGGGCGTGTCGTGTAGTGGGCGTGTCGTGTAGTGTCGTGTACTGTCCGTGGCCGCAGCTAGACCATATTGCAAATCTGTGGCGGAAGATGTAAGGCGGGGCCTCTCATATGACGCACACCTGCACACTTGATAGCCTGTTCCACTCTTTTTTTTCCGAATGCCAGGAAGTATTCTTGCCTCGCTTCTGAAGCAAGATGCTCTGCAGACATGTGCTACCAAGCAAGCGTACTCGCGATTGAGAAACACCCACAGCATGATGGCGGCAGCAGCGGTAGCGGCGGAGCGGGGCGGAGCGGGGCGGAGGAACTGGAGGAACCGGAGCACCGGGAGGACCGTCTCCTGCTGGAGCCTCTGCCCGGGCTGAAGGCTCCTCTCCCCGGCCTGGCTCTGCGGGTTTCTCGGTGCTGGTGGTGGTCGGGTCTCTGCGGGCCAACGGGCTTCTGGAGCGGCTGCTGAAGCAGATAGAGACCGGTGAGGACCAGACACCCTTTCAAAATAGAAGCCCTCCTGTGTACTGTACTAAAGTTGTTTTTTTATTATTAGTGATTATTATGATTAATATTTAATATTCCATTACTCTCATACTTATGTATATATAATATCCTGCTTTATATTTTGTTACTGTACATTTGTAATTCAACATGTATATGTTCTACTTCTTTTTTAATGCTATTTTATTTCTATTGCGATGTTTACACACACACACACACGCACACGCACACGCACACGCATACGCACACACACACCAAGGGCGCCGGAAGCGGGGGGGCCATTGGCCCCCCCACTTTTGAGCCCTGCAGCAGCGGATGCCGTGGAACACTGTACAAATCCCGTTTCAATAATTCCCCTCTACTCTAAAGTCGCATCTAAAACGCGATCTGATCTAGCTGTGTATATTTTGTTATTTGTTATTGTTATATTCAATCTCATTAGCTACAGGCATTTTGTAAAGGGGAAATGACAGCTCTCACTCGCCACTCTGATTGATTGATTGATTGAAAAGTTTATTAACAGCTTGTATATTGGGTACAGTACAGTACAGCTCAAAACATACAATTGTTAAGGGGATGCAGACCAGAGAAAGACTTTCGTCTTGTTTACATCAGGGTCCCCCATTTCCAATTCATCATATCATTTAAGACATATAAGACATATTTGACATACAGATGGCTTATTTACAATTTACATACAGGTGGTTTTTTACATACAGATGGCTTATTTACAATTTTCATTTTAGATTTCGTTCTAATACATCCTAACCGGACATTTAAGACATACCAAGTCTACAGATATACAGTTAGTAACAGAGTCTAAAATGCGAGTATATACATAGATGGGGGGGGGGAAGCTGTCCATTGTACGACAGGTTGAGATTTGTACCATTACCGGGGCCAGTTTTGCAATGCTTTCCCCCGAAGGTGCTCTTTAAGAGAGGTTTTGAAGGTAAGTATAGTTTTACTTTCCTTTACAGTTGTGGGAAGAGCGTTCCACCTTGATGTGGCATAATTGCGAAACGTGTATTCCCCTTTTTTTGTGCCAAATCTGGGTTTTACATGATTTGTGGAGCTCCCTCTGGTGTTATGATCATGGTATTCCTTGACCTTTGGGAAGAATTTTGACATGTACATGGGTACCATAGAGGTGTAGTGGATCTTGTAGACCAGGCCCATTGCAAGTAGCTGTACTCTGTCGTCTACTCTAAGCCATCCTAGGTTGTCAAAGTGGGCAGAGGTGAGGTGGGTTCTAGATGAAAGGTCAAGCAGTAGTCTGACCAGTTTATTTTGCGATGTTTGAAGTTTTATTTTTAGCGCCTTGGAGGTGCTATGGTACCATGACGTGCAAGCATAGTCATAGTACCCTTGAATGAGTGCTCCTGCCAGAGTTTTCAGGGTGTTTTTGTTTACCAGAGAGGAGATCCGGTATAGGAATCTAGTTCTTTGATTGACTTTTTTTATTACATTGGATGCCATTTTGTCACAGGAGAGGTTTGCCTCAAGAATAGATCCTAGGTATGTAATTTCCTTCTTACTTGTGACAATAATGTCACCCACTGCAACTGAGAAGTCGTCGGATTTGCTGAGATTATGTTTCGAACCGAAGAGAATGGACTCTGTTTTACCCAGGTGTAATGATAATTTATTATCGGCGAGCCAGGTGCAGATTCTGCCGAGCTCGGAGCTGAGGGTTTTTTCAACCTGCAATCTGCTCCTGTCAGAGACCAGCAGGGCTGAGTCGTCCGCGAACAGGAACAAGTTGCAGTCACATGCTGATGACATGTCATTTGCATAAATTAGGAACAGTAACGGACCTAATATGCTTCCTTGTGGAACACCACAGCTCACTGGGAGGGGGGGGGACAGAGTACCGTTTACCTCCACCATCTGTTCTCTCCCCTCCAGGTAGGATTGCATCCAGCTCACCGATAGTTTATCAAAACCAATTGCTTTTAGCTTGTCAATCAGAATGGGGTGATTGACAGTGTCGAAAGCCTTTTGTAGGTCCAGCATCACCATGCCGCAGTATTTACCCTCGTCCACCTCTTGTTTGATGTGGTCGTTCAAATAAAGAAGGCATGTGTCAGTGGAGTGGGATGTTCTAAAGCCAGATTGAAATTCATAGATTAGTTTCTTTTCTGCGAGGTACTTTTCGACCTGTTCATATACTATTTTTTCCATGACTTTCGAGATGGAGGTAAGTATAGAAACAGGGCGGTAGTTGCCTGGGTCCAATTTGCTGCCCTTTTGTGCAGGGGGGTTACTCTTGCAATTTTGAAGTCTTTGGGTACTTTTCCCTGTTTTATGGAGAGGTTAATTATGTGAGCTATGACTGGTGAGATGGCGGTTGCTGTGTCTCTGAGGAATTTGGAGGGGATATTGTCGTGGCCAGTGGCCTTGTTAGGTTTGAGGGCGCTCAGTTTAATGAGTACCTCTGCTGTTGTTACCCTTGCTAGACTGAAATCATCTTTGCGTACCCCTAGGTTTTTGTAGTAGGTCATGATGTGATCTACTCCAAAAAGCCCTGAGTGGGAGGGTAATTTATTTACAAGAGTTGTGGCTATGTTTGTGAAAAAAATGTTCAAGTACTTGGCCACATCCAGTTTGTCTGTGATGAGCCTGTTATCTGTCTTTATGTTTACGTTTGAAAATCTCGTTTTGAGTTTTTTACTGCAGCCAAGCTGGTTATTGAGTAATTTCCAAAGTTCACGGGGTTTATTTTTGTTTTCCTCAGTTTTGTCATTGATGAAATTCTTTTTGGCAGTTTTGATCATGGAGCTTACGTCATTTCTTAGTCTGTTTCTTTCAATTTTTAGTTCAGTCACGTGGGCCTGGAGTTCACTGCTCGTGCTTTTGGAAAGCATTGACTGACTTTTATGAAACTCAGAGCATTTTTTGTCTCTGGTTTTCATGGCGGTCAGTATGCCGGAGTGCATCCACGGCTCAGCGCGATTTTTTACCCTGGTTGTTCTTAGGGGGGCCAAATCATTGAGTATTGCAGAGAATTTGTTTTTGAAACCAAGCCATGTTTCTTCAACTTGTGTACCACTGAGCTCATCTGACCAGTCCAGGCTCTCCAGTTCTAGGTTAAAGGCCTCGCTAGAGTAGTTTTTGAGGTCTCTAGATATGACTGTTTTGTGACAGCCGGCCTTTTGTTTTAGCTTTTTGCGGGTACAGAATATCATATAATGATCACTTAATCCGCATGCTATAACCCCTTTACTGGAGATCCTGGACCTGTCAGAGGTCAGAATGAGATCAATGGTAGTTTGTGTTGTTTCACATACCCGGGTGGGTTGGGTGATTAGCTGGCTGAAGCCGTGCAGATCACAAATCCTACTGAAGGACTTGAAGACGGACGTGTCTTTACGTTGCATATCCGTGTTCCAGTCTCCAATAATAATTGTCTCTACATCCCCCACATCAGCCAAACACCCATCTAATGTATCATAAAAGTCACTCTGTTCCGGTGGTCTATAGATTGTCCCGACTATTACAGATTTAGCATTGTCAAAAAGAATTTCAACCCACACAGATTCAATATTTTCATGATGCAGGTCAGTACGGTTTTTGAAATTGGTGTCTTTATGTATGTACATGCAGACACCACCTCCATTCACGTTCCTGTCCCTTCTCACTACAAGATAATCTTCAATTTCAATCTCTGAATCTGTAATGGAATTGTCCAATTTGGTCTCAGAAAAGCATAATATGCTTGCCTTACCGTTCATGAACAGTTGCCTGAGTTCAGCCAGTTTGTGTCTCAGGCTGTTAGTGTTCAGATGAAAAATATGTAGTCCATTTTTGTTGTTTAAATGCATAATGTCGTCAGCTTGAAGATATTTGTCTTTGTCCGTTACAGCAAACGGCTTGCGGCCTGCCGTGGTGCTTGGAGCGGTGGGGTGGTGGGGGGAGGGAGGCTCCGTTGTAGCTTTAGCCGTCGATATGCTAGCAGGGTGGCTAACAACATGGTGGATATTTGTTCCCTCGGATCTCGGTTCTCTTCCTCTCGTCACTGCCTCATGCGTGTCTGTCTGCCGAGGCGTCCCCGGGGGAATGTCGAAGTCTCCGTTGATTCCTCGGTCTCCGCTGTCTCCATGGTCTCTGTTGTCGTCGCGTAGTTGTTGCTGTAGCGGAAGAGATGCTAGTTGTGATGCTAGTTGTGATGCTAGCTCCTCGAGCCTGCAGGAATGGCTTCTTGTCTGCACCGGGCCCGGATTCAGATGGATGTCTCCCGCTAACAATAAGACCAAGACGATCATACTTCTTCGGTCTAGTTTGCCTGACGGGGGTAAGTACTTTCGCGTCGGGTTTGCAGTTAATAATGCATGAATGCTTGCACTTCCAAAAGCGAGGTGTTTCCTTTCCCAGCCGTTGAGAAGGTAAAAGTCATTGTGGTTCATTTTATCCCTGCTTTCACTACTCTCCTTCTCTAAGTGATGTTGCCTCATTGATGAGTTGAGGTAGGAGTCCATAATCCATATTGTCAGGAGGATGAAATATGTAAAAAATCGTGAGGAATAACCTCCAAAGCGGGAGCTCTCGAAAATGCGACCACTCATAGCGAAACCGGAAGCTCTGCTCTTCCAGCACCGCTTCCCCTCCCTCTGTTGAATGTAAGGCGTATAGTAATCATAGATAACACGGCAGGGTCCGTTACAGTTTGTTTGTATCTGATTTCAAATAAACAAAGTCTTGGCTTTCAGAATATTAAACTTGTTTCTGCAAATTCAGATGATAAATACAACTTTGAAGCTTGTAGACATAATTACAAGCGGAGAACGGAGTAACGTCACAGCAGGCATAACAACAGCCGGTGTTTCTCGTGAATACACACACAAACGCAAAAATACACAAACACACACACGTATACACACACACTCACGGGCTTCCCCCAGACCAGTAATCCAAACGAAAATATCTTCCCTCCGTTACTACTTTGATCATTTGCTCCGCTTCCAGAGAAGAGGAAACTTTGAAGGCCTTTTTCTCAAAATGATGACTCGGTGACAGTCATTATATAATGTGACATATTTTGCTTAATATTTGGAAAAACAATCCTGATATCATTAGAAAGCTATGAATCTCCTCTTTCCAACAGTGTATACAACTCAAAATGTGTCTTCGGGTCAATGCGACTGATTTCGATGGAGCAGGTTTGCATTAGGTAAAATAAAGCAGGCAGACATAACAGGAAGAATATGTACAAACCATAGACTGTATATATAAAGTTACAAACCCAATCAAATAGGACATTGTCACACCATTCAAATGTATCCATGTAAATTACAACCAATAAAAAAGCTTAGATTTGTTTATTCATTACGTTGTTTACTTTATTTGTTACGTTGTTCTGTGTGTGTCAGCCGTTAACCAGATAGAAAGAATAGATGCAAACATGTCAGAAGAACCAGCGCAGAAGAAAACAAAATACAGTCAATCTAAACTTCACTTTAACAACTGGAAGGTCACATCCCGGACATCCACGTCTCCAGAGCCTGGACCTTCATCAATCATAGAAGAACCAGCGAAGCCAGATGAACCCCAAAGCAGCAGCTCTGCGGCCGCAGAGACTGTCAAAACCGCTGCCGCCGTTGAACCGAAACAGGCTGGTTCCGACTGCATGGAGGTTTGTTGTCGGGACATTGAGACGGGTAAAGCTGTACAGCTAACTGACCGCTAGATTATTTGGGCAAAGAGAAAGGTACTTCAACGCAGAATGGTACAAAAACAGAGAGTGGTTAATTCTTTGCAAAACCACTAAACGGGCCTTCTGTGAAATATGCAGATTTGCTGTCAAACGGCTTGTCACTTTCTCAAAATGTGGAGATGATAGCTTTGTTAATATCTGAGTTAATAACTGGAAAAAGTGCCCAAGCCTCCTGGACAGCCACGAAAAGTCTCATTACCACAGAGAGTGTATTAAAAAAGTGCGCTTTCTTCAGTCAAACACCAGTCAACATACAGCTTGTCAAACAACAGCGTATGGAGCAGGAAAAAAGAAGAGATGGAATGATGGAGCAACTGCGCTGTCTGCAGTTTCTAACCCGACAGGGCCGAGCAATCAGGGGGCATGCGGATAAGGAGAGCAATTTCCAAAAGCTAGTTGAACTCGTAGCTGAGAAAAACCCCACTCTGAAAAGCTTCATGCTCACCGGGAAATATGCATCACACGAGACAATTAATGAACTTATAAATCAAATGTATCGGGAGTCTCTCACCACTCTATTAACTGAAATTAAAAGCAATGCAAAACACTATGCAGTTATTGTGGATGAAACTCGCGATTGCTCCGGGCATGAACAGTTGTCTCTGACTGTACGATGGGTATCAGCTGATTATGTTGTCCATGAAGACTTCATAGGAATGTATGACTGTCCTAAGACTGACGCAGAATCAATAACCCTTACTATTAAGGACATGTTAATGAGATGCGGCCTGGACATTGGTGACATGAGAGGGCAAACCTACGATGGCGCATCTGTTCTACAGGGACAAATGTCAGGTGTGGCTAAACGTTTTAAAGACATCAATCCCAAAGCAGTCTCAATGCATTGCACAAATCACAGTTTGAACCTAATTCTTCAGGAAGCTGCTTCAAAGTGCAACATTGTACGTGGTGCCTTCAGTTTAGTTCACGACATACATGAGATAATCAACAACTCACCAAAACGACTTGCCATCTTTAAAAACATTAGGGATGCTGCTGCTGCCTCTCCTGGAGCCAGTGCTGGCCTCACACCGCTCTGCCCCACTCGCTGGACAGCCAGAGGCCGTGCAATCAAATCCTTGCTTGCCAATTACGAAGCTGTCTACGACACTTTGGATGAAATAATCCAAATGGGGGGGAACACAGAAGCAAGCAAAAAGGCACCAGGGCTGCAGGCATTGATGACTCAATTCAGTGTTTTCTTTGGACTGAAAGTGTGTCTTAAACTGTTTTCTTCTGCGGAAGAGGTGGCTCGGGTGCTCCAGTCCAAAGACCTCTCAGCAGAGACAGTCAAGTCAGCAGTGCAGATGCTCCAGACACACTACACAAACCTGAGGTCCACAGAGGCATTCCACAGCATCTTTGAAGATGCCCAAAGAACGAGCATGAACGACCTGGTCCAGGCACCGGCTCTTCCTCCAAGGCGGCGCGCTCCACGCCGTTATGATGATGGGGATGCACCTCATCAGAGGACTACTTCAGGAGCCAGTTCTTTGAGGTAGTTGACCTGCTCACTTCTGAGCTGACTCGCAGGTTTAACCAACCCACTCTGCTTCTGCTGATGAGCATGGAACAGGTACTCCTCACAGCAGTAAACAGTCCCCCGGGATTCAACAGCATCAACATCCCCCAAAATCTGGTGGACATGTACACAGGTGATGTTGACATGGAACGGCTGTCCACCCAGTTGCCACTGTTTCCAGCAGTTTTGCACACAACAGTTCCGCCGCTGAAAGACCCATCACTCAGGTGACAAAGGTGGCCACAATCGCGGACATGCTGGCGGCACAGGGACGAGGCACGCAATCCCTCTCCAGTGAAGTGGACAAGCTTCTACGGCTGTATTTGACTGTGCCGATGTCCAATGCAACAGCTGAGCGGAGCTTCTCCAGCCTCCGTCGGTTGAAGACGTTCCTTCGTTCAACTATGTCCGAGCGCCGCTTAAATCACCTTCTCTTCCTCCACATCCACAAAGATTTAACCGACGGCCTGGACCTCAGAAAAGTGCTCCGGAGTTTCTGCTTTGCCAGTGAGCGAAGGGAGGTTTACTTTGGCAAAATCTAGGAAGATGGGGTAGATTTAGCCACGAGGGGATTTGTTTTGCTTTACCCTAATGTATTGTGGGACATTTGTTTGAAGGTTGCCACCCTCATCTGTTATTGGACATTTTTGTCATGTGATTTTAATTACACAACATCACAGCTTTTATACAGCTTACTGTTAACAAGCTTGTTATACGTTCTTTTCACAAGAATTGTTGTTTGGTTCGGTTAAATAAATAATTTATGTCCATTTCTTGAATTTCTTGAAATAAGTTTCATGAATTGCATTACCTGTAGATGCTGCACCGGTCTCAACGCTGTGTGTGTCCGTCAGGAAACACGTTGTTTACAAACAGTTCCAGCAAACATCCAGTGATAAACTGCGATGTGAACAACCTCATGATAACCTCATGTGTTTTTAACTTAGGATCGTACCTGTGTTTAGTCTAGAAAAAGGTAAATGTGTGTATTTTATTATAAAGTTGTGTATATTTACAGACTGTTGCAAAAACTAAGAAGCTTATAAACATCAGGTTTAAAACTAAAAGAGCTTTACAAAAAAGTAACAAAATTAAAGATGTTTGGAGTTTTATTTGAGTTATTAATTTAAAAGAAATTCAAAGAGAAGCTGATTTGAAACCGTTGTTACATACAGTTACGGCATTTCCTGTTTCTGCCGGAGAGAGGGGAGTTTGTCCCAAAGCTTGCCGCTGTATTTACTCCCTCCATCTGACAGGAGGGAGCCTCATGTGTCACTCCACGGAGTTCACTCCGTCACGGAGGGGGAGTGTATAGGGGTAGGCAGGGTGTAGGGCGTGGTTTGGGATTGGGCCATACTCGCTCACTTTTTTGGCCCCCCCACTTCTAAAATGAATCCGGCGCGCCTGGTTCATGGGGATGTATTGTTTTATTTACAATGATATCAAATAAGTGAATTTAGCTGGTGTTGGTATCTAAAGTCTTGTATTGTGACATTCTTGATAAATATGACTGTGTGGACACAGCAGAAATGTGACCTCCCAAAGCAAACAATATTTATGTTTAATAATTAACTTGTGATATTGTGTGTTGCGTTCAGGTGTTCGCTGCTGGCCTGTTTCTCTGGATGTTTCTGTTCTGGATCAGCAGCTGAAGCTCTTTGTGTCGAGACATTCGGCCTTCCTGTCCCAGGACGTCCCAGGTGAGACGACAGGAAGCAGCACTAACTGGCAACATGTCACACCTAACACTGCTTATATCTACTATATATTATACATTAAACTCTTGTTGTTTACCCCAATGTATAGTTTTACTACAATAAATTCCCAATTGAAAGTAACAAAAACTTCACTGAAGGTCAAACAGCAGCTGACAGGGAGGATGACATCATCTGTGAGACTGGAGGTTATTTAATGTGTGTGTGTGTGTGTGTGTGTGTGTGTGTGTGTGTGTGTGTGTGTGTGTGTGTGTGTGTGTGTGTGTGTGTGTGTGTGTGTGTGTGTGTGTGTGTGTGTGTGTGTGTGTGTGTGTGTGTGTGTGTGTGTGTGTGTGTGTGTGTGTGTGTGTGTGTGTTGTGGTGTGTGTGTGTGTGTGTGTGTGTGTGTGTGTGTGTGGTGTGTGTGTGTGTGTGTGTGTGTGGTGTGTGTGTGTGTGTGTGTGTGTGTGTGTGTGTGTGTGTGTGTGTGTGTGTGTGTGTGTGTGTGTGTGTGTGTGTGTGTGTGTGTGTGGTGTGTGTGTGTGTGTGTGATGTGTGTGTGTGTGTGTGTGTGTGTGTGTGTGTGTGTGTGTGTGTGTGTGTGTGTGTGTGTGTGTGTGTGTGTGTGTCACTCAGAGTATGAATGATAAGAGTCTGATATCAGGTTGTACCGTTGCTTCAAATCAAACATCAGGGTTTCGTCCCCGATGTTCTGACCTGGACGGCTTTTTGGAACGTGGCGTTTCTCCAACTAAAGCACAGGTTCCTCGACACACACTTTACCCTCATGTAATAATAATAAAAGCTTCTATCTGTCAGTGCGTGTGGGCATGCAGTTACACGTCTCTGGACTTTACTGTCAATCACGTTATTGCTTTATTACATTTGTTTTTAGCAGACCATTGACATGCACCTATATATATAAGCAGAGATGGCAAAAGTACACATCCTTTACTCAAGTAGAAGTACAGATACTCGTGTTTAAAAATACTCTGGTGAAAGTAGAAGTACTGACTAAACTTCTTTACTCAAGTCAAAGTAAAGAGGCTTTGAAATGTACTTCAGTAAAAAGTACCCATAACTAGCAGCTGTTTTAAAGAGTACCTGACCTCCCTTTATATTAATAGAACAATAATGTCATTGTTAGCTAATGAATGTTTCCATGCTGAACAACGGCAACATGACAACGTTTTCATTGGTCCCTCTTCTTTAGAGAAGACCAGGAAATGATGGATACACGGATCGTGTTCAAATCAATAGGCACGCAATGACTCTAAATAATAATGATCACGCCACCAAACACACATTCAAACTAAAGGAACCAGCCTGTTTGGAAAATGTGAGAAGTAGAAAGTACAGGTATTTGGGTTCAACATGTAAGAAGTAGATAAGAAGTAGAAAGTACAGGTATTTGTGTTCAACATGTAAGAAGTAGAAAGTACAGGTATTTGTGTTCAACATGTAGAAGTAGAAAGTACAGGTATTTGGGTTCAACATGTAAGAAGTAGAAAGTACAGGTATTTGGGTTCAACATGTAAGAAGTAGAAAGTACAGGTATTTGGGTTCAACATGTAAGAAGTAGAAAGTACAGGTATTTGTGTTCAACATGTAAGAAGTAGAAAGTACAGGTATTTGGGTTCAACATGTAAGAAGTAGAAAGTACAGGTATTTGTGTTCAACATGTAAGAAGTAGAAAGTACAGGTGTTTGTGTTCAACATGTAAGAAGTAGAAAGTACAGGTATTTGGGTTCAACATGTAAGAAGTAGAAAGTACAGGTATTTGGGTTCAACATGTAGAAGTAGAAAGTACAGGTATTTGTGTTCAACATGTAAGAAGTAGAAAGTACAGGTATTTGGGTTCAACATGTAAGAAGTAGAAAGTACAGGTATTTGGGTTCAACATGTAAGAAGTAGAAAGTACAGGTATTTGGGTTCAACATGTAAGAAGTAGAAAGTACAGGTATTTGTGTTCAACATGTAAGAAGTAGAAAGTACAGGTATTTGTGTTCAACATGTAAGAAGTAGAAAGTACAGGTATTTGGGTTCAACATGTAAGAAGTAGAAAGTACAGGTATTTGTGTTCAACATGTAAGAAGTAGAAAGTACAGGTATTTGTGTTCAACATGTAAGAAGTAGAAAGTACAGGTATTTGGGTTCAACATGTAAGAAGTAGAAAGTACAGGTATTTGTGTTCAACATGTAAGAAGTAGAAAGTACAGGTATTTGGGTTCAACATGTAAGAAGTAGAAAGTACAGGTATTTGTGTTCAACATGTGAAGTAGAAAGTACAGGTATTTGGGTTCAACATGTAAGAAGTAGAAAGTACAGGTATTTGAGTTCAACATGTAAGAAGTAGAAAGTACAGGTATTTGTGTTCAACATGTAAGAAGTAGAAAGTACAGGTATTTGTGTTCAACATGTAAGAAGTAGAAAGTACAGGTATTTGTGTTCAAAATGTAAGAAGTAGAAAAGTACAGGTATTTGGGTTCAACATGTAAGAAGTAGAAAGTACAGGTATTTGGGTTCAACATGTAAGAAAGTAGAAAGTACAGGTATTTGTGTTCAACATGTAAGAAGTAGAAAGTACAGGTATTTGTGTTCAACATGTAAGAAGTAGAAAGTACAGGTATTTGGGTTCAACATGTAGAAGTAGAAAGTACAGGTATTTGGGTTCAACATGTAAGAAGTAGAAAGTACAGGTATTTGTGTTCAACATGTAAGAAGTAGAAAGTACAGGTATTTGTGGTTCAACATGTAAGAAGTAGAAAGTACAGGTATTGGGTTCAACATGTAAGAAGTAGAAAGTACAGGTATTTGGGTTCAACATGTAAGAAGTAGAAAGTACAGGTATTTGTGTTCAACATGTAAGAAGTAGAAAAGTACAGGTATTTGGTGTTCAACATGTAAGAAGTAGAAAGTACAGGTATTTGGTTCAACATGTAAGAAGTAGAAAGTACAGGTATTTGATGTTCAACATGTAAGAAGTAGAAAGTACAGGTATTTGGGGTTCAACATGTAAGAAGTAGAAAGTACAGGTATTTGGGTTCAACATGTAAGAAGTAGAAAGTACAGGTATTTGGTTCAACATGTAAGAAGTAGAAAGTACAGGTATTTGTGTTTCAACATGTAAGAGTAGAAAGTACAGGTATTGGGTCAACATGTAAGAAGGTAGAAAGTACAGTATTGTGTTCAACATGTAAGAAGTAGAAAGTACAGGTATTTGTGTTCAACATGTAGAAGTAGAAAGTCAGGTATTTGTGTTCAACATGTAAGAAGTAGAAAGTACAGGTATTTGTGTTCAACATGTAAGAAGTAGAAAGTACAGGTATTTGTGTTCACCATGTAAGAAGTAGAAAGTACAGGTATTTTGTGTTCAACATGTAAGAGTAGAAAGTACAGGTATTTGTGGTTCAAATGTAAGAAGTAGAAAGTACAGGTATTTGTGTTCAACATGTGAAGAAGTAGAAAGTATCAGGTATTGGGTTCAACATGTAAGAGAAGTAGAAAAGTACAGGTATTTGAGTTCAACATGTAAGAAGTAGAAAGTACAGGTATTTGGGTTCAACATGTAAGAAGTAGAAAGTACAAGGTATTTGTGTTCAACATGTAAGAAGTAGAAAGTACAGGTATTTGTGTTCAAAGTGTAAGAAGTAGAAAGTACAGGTATTTGTGTTCAACATGTAAGAAGTAGAAAGTACAGGTATTTGTGTTCAACATGTAAGAAGTAGAAAGTACAGGTATTTGTGTTCAACATGTGAGAAGTAGAAAGTACAGGTATTTGTGTTCAACATGTGAGAAGTAGAAAGTACAGGTATTTGGGTTCAACATGTAAGAAGTAGAAAGTACAGGTCTTTGTGTTCAACATGTAAGAAGTAGAAAGTACAGGTATTTGAGTTCAACATGTAAGAAGTAGAAAGTACAGGTATTTGTGTTCAAAGTGTAGAAGTAGAAAGTACAGGTATTTGTGTTCAACATGTGAGAAGTAGAAGTACAGGTATTTGATGTTCAACATGTGAAGAAGTAGAAAGTACAGGTATTTGGGTTCAACATGTAAGAAGTAGAAAGTACAGGTATTTGTGTTCAACATGTAAGAAGTAGAAAGTACAGGTATTTGTGTTCAACAGTGTAAGAAGTAGAAAGTACAGGTATTTGTGTTCAACATGTAAGAAGTAGAAAGTACAGGTATTTGGGTTCAACATGTAAGAAGTAGAAAGTACAGGTATTTGTGTTCAACATGTAAGAAGTAGAAAGTACAGGTATTTGGGTTCAACATGTAAGAAGTAGAAAGTACAGGTATTTGTGTTCAACATGTGAGAAGTAGAAAGTACAGGTATTTGTGTTCAACATGTAAGAAGTAGAAAGTACAGGTATTTGTGTTCAACAGTGTAAGAAGTAGAAAGTACAGGTATTTGTGTTCAACATGTAAGAAGTAGAAAGTACAGGTATTTGTGTTCAACATGTAAGAAGTAGAAAGTACAGGTATTTGTGTTCAACATGTAAGAAGTAGAAAGTACAGGTATTTGTGTTCAACATGTAAGAAGTAGAAAGTACAGGTATTTGTGTTCAACATGTAAGAAGTAGAAAGTACAGGTATTGGGTTCAACAGTGTAAGAAGTAGAAAGTACAGGTATTTGTGTTCAACATGTAAGAAGTAGAAAGTACAGGTAGTATGTGTTCAACATGTAAGAAGTAGAAAGTACAGGTATTTGTGTTCAACATGTAAGAAGTAGAAAGTACAGGTATTTGTGTTCAACATGTAAGAAGTAGAAAGTACAGGTATTTGTGTTCAAAATGTAAGAAGTAGAAAGTACAGGTATTTGTGTTCAACATGTAGAAGTAGAAAGTACAGGTATTTGTGTTCAACATGTAGAAGTAGAAAGTACAGGTATTTGGGTTCAACATGTAAGAAGTAGAAAGTACAGGTATTTGTGTTCAACATGTAAGAAGTAGAAAAGTACAGGTATTTGTGTTCAAAGTGTAAGAAGTAGAAAGTACAGGTATTTGGGTTCAACATGTAAGAAGTAGAAAGTACAGGTATTTGGGTTCAACATGTAAGAAGTAGAAAGTACAGGTATTTGTGTTCAACAATGTAAGAAGTAGAAAGTACAGGTATTTGGGTTCAACATGTAAGAAGTAGAAAGTACAGGTATTTGGGTTCAACATGTAAGAAGTAGAAAGTACAGGTATTTGGTTCAACATGTAAGAAGTAGAAAGTACAGGTATTTGGTTCAACATGTAAGAAGTAGAAAGTACAGGTATTTGTGTTCAACATGTAAGAAGTAGAAAGTACAGGTATTTGGGTTCAACATGTAAGAAGTAGAAAGTACAGGTATTTGTGTTCAACATGTAAGAAGTAGAAAGTACAGGTATTTGTGTTCAACATGTAAGAAGTAGAAAGTACAGGTATTTGGGTTCAACATGTAAGAAGTAGAAAGTACAGGTATTTGTGTTCAACATGTAAGAAGTAGAAAGTACAGGTATTTGTGTTCAACATGTAAGAAGTAGAAAGTACAGGTATTTGTGTTCAAACATGTAAAGAAAGTAGAAAGTACAGGTATTTGTGTTCAACATGTAAGAAGTAGAAAGTACAGGTATTTGTGTTCAAACATGTACGAAGTAGAAAGTACAGGTATTTTTGTTTTATTTTCGGTTCAACATGTAAGAAGTAGAAAGTACAGGTATTAGTGCTTCAACATGTAAAGAAGTAGAAGTACAGGTATTGTGTTCAACATGTAAGAAGTAGAAAGTACAGGTATTTGTGTTCAAAGTGCTAAGAAGTAGAAAGTACAGGTATTTGTGTTTCAAAGTGTAATGAAGTAGAAAGTACAGCGTTTTGGGTTCAAAAACATGTAAGGAAGTTGTGTTCAACATGTAAGAGAGTAGAAAGTACAGGTATTTGTGTTCAACATGTCAAGCAAGTCACAAGTAAAAAGTGGTCAGAACAAATAAGTAGTGGAGTAAAGTTACTGATACCAGACACATGTTGTACTTAAGTACAGTAAACAAAGCCTTATTTGTCACTCCACTTCTTCCCACCTCTGCTCAGAACACACTACAGGAGAGGGAAGAGCCCTAAGAGCAGAATAGGGCCTCTTTAAAACAAACACATACTGAGTAATATCTGGTCCAACTTCTGTTTTAATGTGATTTCTCTGTGTTTGCAGTGTGTCAGAACACACAGATGCCAGCGTGGAGCCTCCTCACACATATTTACACACATATGTACACAACCACTGCTTCACATTTCATCATGATGTTGACTCTGTTACACAATGAATCCAGATGTTACAGAGGGTCGTACGCGGGGTGACCCTTAAACTCTCATGCTGCCAAATCTGCAGGATCTGAAGGTCTTTATAAATGAGACGTAGACGATGAAACAAATAAATGACCAATTTGTCCCAAAGGATTTAATGTGGTTTTGTTATTTAAAAAGATTACACAATACATTTATTTATAATATACACTTTTACATAATGGTAAGGTTTTCATTTTAATTAGTAGATGGTTAAATAGAATAGTATATTTAAAGTCTGAACCGGATTGATTATTTACTTCTGCTTGAACTTAATATCAGAGCAGTACATCTAATACATATGTTCAAAAACAGCACTTTTCATTATTTAACCCTCAACATTTTTGTCAAATAACATGCAGTGTTTATTATTCGACATTTTATTCAACATATTGTTTCTTGTTGGGAGTTGTTTTTATTTGTTAAACACCAATAAAGAAATACATAACATTAATATCAGAGCATAAATCTACTTTAAATCTAACGACTGTCTGCACTTTCTGTTGAATAAGCTGTGGTGGATAATGTGGATCAGTTTGTTTAAATATTCCACATTTCATTTGACCATTTATATATCTTTTCTCTTGTTGTTATCAGTTTAAATGTGTATTATTGTTTGTGGGAAACGGTATTTCGATCTCTCTGTCTGTACACACAAACTGGAAGACTAAACACCGTGATGTGTCCTCTTGATTTCCTCTGAGACCTTGAGGTGTTAGAGATCCTGACCCTGTGTTTTACTTTCTAAAGGGCCAGCTTCGAGAGTCCATCAGAGACCTGGTCCTCCGCTGCCCTCAGACTCTGTTCATCTTCGACGAGGCGGAGAAGCTTCACCCCGGCCTCATCGACGCCATCAAGCCGTTCATGGATCATTACGACAACGTGGACGGGGTCAACTACCGCAGAGCGCTCTTCCTCTTCCTCAGGTCTCTAATTGTTTATCACACACTTCAAATTACATTTCCTTTACCAATTAAGTGTCTGACAGTCAGTGTCACATCTCCACACACACCACTATTACATACAGTCACTATGATCAATCTAACCTTTTTTATTTACAGAGAAAACACAAACCAAGTGCAAGTGCATTTCTCACGTGTCCGTTGTCTCCACAGTAACATCGGGGGGGCGACCATCAACGACGTGGCGCTGGACTTCTGGCACTCGGGTCAGAACCGAGAGGACATCGGGATGGAAGATCTGGAGCATCGACTGAGAGCAGAAACCATGGAGTCTCACGGTACGTTGAAGAGGTTCATGTTCTTTAAAGTAGAGACACTACATACTGATATACACCTGAACATCAGCAGGAGAGGACTCTTTAAAGTAGAGACACTACATACTGATATACACCTGAACATCAGTAGGAGAGGACTCTTTAAAGTAGAGACACTACATACTGATATACACCTGAACATCAGCAGGAGAGGACTCTTTAAAGTAGAGACACTACATACTGATATACACCTGAACATCAGCAGGAGAGGACTCTTTAAAGTAGAGACACTACATACTGAGATACACCTGAACATCAGCAGGAGAGGACTCTTTAAAGTAGAGACACTACATACTGATATACACCTGAACATCAGCAGGAGAGGACTCTTTAAAGTAGAGACACTACATACTGATATACACCTGAACATCAGCAGGAGAGGACTCTTTAAAGTAGAGACACTACATACTGATATACACCTGAACATCAGCAGGAGAGGACTCTTTAAAGTAGAGACACTACACACTGATATACACCTGAACATCAGCAGGAGAGGACTCTTTAAAGTAGAGACACTACATACTGATATACACCTGAACATCAGCAGGAGAGGACTCTTTAAAGTAGAGACACTACACACTGAGATACACCTGAACATCAGCAGGAGAGGACTCTTTAAAGTAGACACACTACCTACTGATATACACCTGAACATGAGCAGGAGAGGACTCTTTAAAGTAGAGACACTACACACTGATATACACCTGAACATCAGCAGGAGAGGACTCTTTAAAGTAGAGACACTACACACTGATATACACCTGAACATCAGCAGGAGAGGACTCTTTAAAGTAGAGACACTACATACTGATATACACCTGAACATCAGCAGGAGAGGACTCTTTAAAGTAGACACACTACCTACTGATATACACCTGAACATCAGCAGGAGAGGACTCTTTAAAATAGAGACACTACATACTGATATACACCTGAATATCAGCAGGAGAGGACTCTTTAAAGTAGAGACACTACACACTGATATACACCTGAACATCAGCAGGAGAGGACTCTTTAAAGTAGACACACTACCTACTGATATACACCTGAACATCAGCAGGAGAGGACTCTTTAAAATAGAGACACTACATACTGATATACACCTGAACATCAGCAGGAGAGGACTCTTTAAAGTAGACACACTACATACTGATATACACCTGAACATCAGCAGGAGAGGACTCTTTAAAGTAGAGACACTACATACTGATATACACCTGAACATCAGCAGGAGAGAACTCTTTAAAGTAGAGACACTACATACTGATATACACCTGAACATCAGCAGGAGAGGACTCTTTAAAGTAGAGACACTACATACTGATATACACCTGAATATCAGCAGGAGAGGACTCTTTAAAGTAGAGACACTACATACTGATATACACCTGAACATCAGCAGGAGAGGACTCTTTAAAGTAGAGAGACTACATACTGATATACACCTGAATATCAGCAGGAGAGGACTCTTTAAAGTAGAGACACTACATACTGATATACACCTGAACATCAGCAGGAGAGGACTCTTTAAAGTAGAGCGTTCTTTCTCCATGGTTCTGTTTCCCAGGTGGCTTTGCTCAGAGCGAGCTGATGTCCGGTCACCTGATCGACTTCTTCGTGCCCTTCCTGCCTCTGGAGTACCGGCACGTGAAGCTGTGTGCGAGGGACGCGTTCACGGCTCGAGGCCTGCAGACGGACGAGGCCACGCTGGACGAGGTGGCCAAGGCCATGCTGTACGTGCCCAAAGAGGAGAGGCTGTTCTCCGCTCAGGGCTGCAAGTCCATCCCCCAGAGGATCAACTTCTTCCTGCCCTAGGAGGTGAGACGCACAGACCTGGAAGTGGAGCCCAGAGTACTATCCCCTTCACAGGTACAACAGGTGTCCTTCAGAGAGGGACGGATCCACAGGGGAAACACAGGATCCTGCAGACGTGAGGAGATCCAGCTCTTCTTCAGCATCAGGACCATGGGTGTCACTTTGTGTGATGAGGACACAGATTTAAAAAAAAAATTCTGCAATAAGCGCCCCCCAAAAACCAATACATACATATTTATACAGACATGCTACAATACTTTTGACAAACTAGCGCAGTAACTACGCTGCTGTCAAAGGTGTTCTCTATTCAGTCCATTATAAATATTAACGTTTCTCTTGGGTTACCAGCAGGGTTAAGGGTTTTAATCTGGAGCGGGGGTCTTTAATATGGACATGATGATGAGAGAGAGGAGAGAGAGGAAGAAGAGAAGAGAGACGACGAGAGGAGGAGGAGAGAGACGAGATGGATGGAGAGTAGAGATCGAGAAGAGAGAGAGAGAGACGAGAGAGAGAGGGCTGATAGAGAGAGAGATGGGAAGAGATAGAGAGAGGAGAGAGAGATGAGGAGATGGAGATGGAGAGTGAGGCGATGAGAGGAGACGAGAGAGAGAGAGCACTGCTCACTAGGTGGTCACACACACACACACACCTCTTACCATTACGCAGATGAAAGGGCCCAAAGTGGTGTGTTCTCAGCAGGCTGTGGTCGCGGTCCTTGAACCCACGATGTGGAAGTCCGATGTCCTTTATTTGGATCGTCTGCTCGACTACTTTCTTGTCAATATATTTGAATATCAGTTGATAACGGTTTCTTCAAAGTGTACACTTCTTTGTGCACGCTATTTCCAGAACACTTTTAACAGATTATCCAAATGCAAAAGGTCGGGTACAAAATTGGCCATTTCCAAAAGTGTTGGAGACATGTTCCCAAAGTGTCCCCAGTATGAATATCACCAAGAACTAGACAGAATTCAGTGTTTGTCAAACTTTCATTATGTTTGTTCGTCTCGTCCAACGGCTTAGTTGCTCTGTTTTTAAAAGTTAAGATCATGTGTTGCATGTAGGACATTGCACTTGTAAAGAGTGGTGCTCAGCGGAGAAATCCCATTGGACCAGGGAGATGATGCCTTCAGGGACCAACACCGAAATACGACATCCCTGCACCACTCGAGTATCACTGATTATTTATTGACGTATGATATTTATGATATGAGACTAGATGTAAAATGTATGATTAATTAATTAAAAAGACGTGTCTAGCTATTCTATTATTTTTCTTTACCCTTTAAGCCATTAAATCCACTAGTTATCCAAATTCTCATTGTGTTAATGGATCCTGAAAGCCTCCTCCTTACAAAACCGTCTCAATATGAATATTAGGTCCAATCTTTATATGTGAATGTCCTTATATATTGCCCAGCCCTACATAGTTTGTGCCATATTTAAGCATTATCACTGTATTGTCTGTGGAGTGGTTTGAATGCACATTTTGGTGGTTCTTTAAGGCATTATTAAATATGAGATGGCTCTGTAATGTGAACAGCTGTGATGCAAATGTGAGTTGAAGTTGTTACTGGGAAATGTGAGAGAGTAAAAGACATTGAATCTGTTTGAAAGTCATCTTTTTCTGTAAATATGCTTTTATTGACTGAGTATTTCATTGTTTCTGTGTTTTAATTATCATAAATCTATCATTTAATTCACTGTCTTGCATTATCTCACCGTCACACAGTTCTGCTTTAAAGATGTTATTCTCTAAAGAGTCACATTTGGAGAAAAGCGTGAAGAGAAATGTCAGAAATGGTTTTCAGAAAATAAACATTCACAACAAACAGAAGTTGTTTTTCTTTAATGCAATTACATTTTAAGAGTTTCAGTATTCACTCAGAAATACAATTAATATATCAATCACTCCATTTGGTTGTACTTGAGTAAAAGTAGAAGTACTTAGATCTTAGATAAATGGATAGATAGATGGATAGATAGATAGATAGATAGATAGATACTTTATTGATCCCAATTTGGGAAATGTTTTCCAAATTGTTACCATCTCAAAATACAATCATATAATATTCTAAATCATCTGTTTTATATCTGTGAATGTACATGAATACAATAATGCACTATTAACCATTTAAAATAACATTTACTGATAATACTAACAATATTTGTACTTAAGTATAGTTGTACATGCAGGATATGTATTTATGGGTTATTTGAACACACTGTATTGATGTGTTCTTTTACTTCAAGTACTTTGTTGTGCTTGTTTGTAGCTACATGTCTGTTCCTGTCTTCCTGTAATATGTTCTCCTGTGTAACTTGATCGAAGGGAGCTGCAAACAGGGAGGGACCTCGAAAGTGAAAGTAAGTGAGTAACAGACAGACTCCATTTCACACGTTGACAGAGCAGCAGAAAGAGAACAGGGTGAGTGTTAAAACCAGGCTCTGCTGGGGTTTCCTAAACAATTCATGTTTACTCTGTTTGACTTTATCTCAGAAAAATACAGTCTCGATAAAAAAGCAACGTCTTAGAGTCCGATGTGGCATATTGAAATGTTGTAGGTCTAAACTTCCCCTTTCACGTCCGTGTGTCTGCGCCATCATGGTTACATAACTATACAGACTTATGTGTTGTTGTTTGGTGTTTGTTGATTTAAAACAAAAAGTAATCGCGTAAATCACGATCATAAACTGTGATTCATCTTCATAAATCAGAAGTTTTAAATATTAGTAGGCCTGTTAACTCAGGGTTGCCAACTCTCACGCATCTGGCGTTTGACACACGCTTTCACTCTCAATCTCACGCTCTCACGCTGCCCAAACTATTCTCACGCCAAAAACAAGAATACGAAGACTAGAAACGGTTTTGAAAACTTTTGTCACGTAGTGATCGTCTTCTCAATAGAACATCTTTGATAATGTCTTCTGGCCAATCAGAATCACGATAACGGCGTGGTGTTGTTGCAGGAAGTCCCGACGGAGAATACTTTTGCGGTAGTACATCTCTATACATCGATACAACATTACGTGTTGATAGAAATCAACACGTAATGAAATAAGACCCCACGGTTTGATGATTGATAGGTGTGTGGGCTGTCTTTCATTTTGACACACAGAACAATGGGGGCTATCCACCCTTATCCACAATGTAAAGTAATTCACACAGCCTCTTCCCTCTTCTCTCTGTGAGGAGCAGCAGGTTCAGCTTTCAGAACAAAGTAACACAAAACTAAAATGGCATTCATTTTTTTAAATATGTCATGTAGTAATAGATTTATTTATTTTTCTTCTCAAGAGAGTACCAGAATGTGTATTTTATGTTAGTATTTAAAAAAATCTCCTGGGCCCAGACCCCCCTGCAGGGGTTGGGTCTTCAGCATGTCAACTCTTTCACCTGTGGGGAAATTGCAGGATTGGCTCCAGGTCGCCCTTTTTATTTACTACAAGACAAATGTGCCTTTTTATTTCATACAGTTCAATTTGGATTGACACAGGGAAATCATCTAAACCTCACGCGTGGCGTTTCACTGTCGGGGGGAGCGATATAGCGTGTATGTAATTACATTGCAAATACTGACTTGAGCCCCACCACTGTATGGGTTAGCCCTACCAGAGATTACCCAACAAAAATACTCTGGAGCCGCAACTGCCGACCCGTATTGCGCATGCGCAGAACTAAGATCCAGTAGAAATGGTAAAAAAGTAAAAGTCTGCTGCTTATTGTTCTACTAGGCCAAAATAGAGTCAAAGAGTATATGAGAGTGAGAGTGTGTTAATTAATATATTTGGCAGTTTGGAGTAAGTCTGTAGATTTGTTTGTGTGTGTGTGTTTCATATATAGGCCTCTCACGATAATTAATTTTGTTGGATACATTTTCCCGGAAATTATTGCGATAAACGATAATATTGTCGGCACCGTTGTATCATATGACCATTTTAGACCACTGACATAATGATAATATATAATAATAATTCAAGTGCATCCTTTCAAACTGCTAGTCACATCCTCATGTAAATGGAAATGTATCGAGGTCAGAAAAGTTATCGAGTTCATTTTTATTTATCGTACGATAAGTCAATGAATTGCTTATCGCGACAGGCACACAATAAAACAGTGGAAACAAACATGTTTGACTTTCATGAGTGAATGAAACTGTGTGCCCTTTATAGTCTGTGTCCATTATTGTGTATTTGTATATATTGTATATATATCCTATATATATGCTAAGGTCTCGCTGCTGACACGATAGCAGTCATTTCGTGCGCATATGTGTAATTAAACCGAATTAAACCCATGATATCAAAATCTCACTCCAGCCAGGTACCCAAAGTTGGCAACCCTGATTTATGGGTTATTTGAACACACTGTATTGATGTGTTCTTTTACTTCAAGTACTTTGTTGTGCTTGTTTGTAGCTACATGTCTGTTCCTGTCTTCCTGTAATATGTTCTCCTGTGTAACTTGATCGAAGGGAGCTGCAAACAGGGAGGGACCTCGAAAGTGAAAGTAAGTGAGTAACAGACAGACTCCATTTCACACGTTGACAGAGCAGCAGAAAGAGAACAGGGTGAGTGTTAAAACCAGGCTCTGCTGGGGTTTCCTAAACAATTCATGTTTACTCTGTTTGACTTTATCTCTGAAAAATACAGTCTCGATAAAAAAGCAACGTCTTGGAGTCCGATGTGGCATATTGAAATGTTGGAGGCCTAAACTTCCCCTTTCACGTCCGTGTGTCTGCGCCATCATGGTTACATAACTATACAGACTTATGTGTTGTTAGTGGTGTTAGTTGATTTAAAACAAAAAGTAATCGCGTAAATCACGATCATAAACTGTGATTAATCTTCATAAATCAGAAGTGTTAAATATTAGTAGGCCTGTTAACGTGTATTTTGGAGAGATATAAAACAAATACATCGTGTGTTGTAGTCTAATAAAGCGGTCCATGAAAAACTGCTGAGAGAAATAAGAGGGGTTTTAATCCGTGTATCTACCGTCCATTTGTTTTTATTTATTCAACAAGTAAACGGAAGAGCGTCTGAGAGGACTTTTTGCTTTTTAACTTACTAAAAATGGTCTGAGGCCCAATCCCAAACCGCCCCCTACACCCTACCCCTACACACTCCCCCTCCGTGACGAGTGAACTCCGTGGAGTGACGTTCGCAGCTCAACGAGGCTCCCTCCTGTCAGATGGAGGGAGTACATACAGCCGCAAGCTTTGGGACAAACTCCCCACTATGGAATGCCATTTAAGCCAAAATTAAATAAATAAATAATTAAATAAATACATATATATATATAAATATGCCTATGAAATACATTCCGAAATAAATAAATGAGGCAATAAATATGTATACATGTACATTTAAATACACATTTATTTATTTCATGGGACTTTTATTTCATAATGACACATTTATTTATTTCAAGAGACTTGTATTTCATAATGACACATTTATTTATTTCAGACACACACTTTATAAAGTCAGGCAACACTAACCAGGCTTCGTGTGATTCTGTTTATTTGTACCTTACTTTGACCATCCGTTCTCTGTTATTGATCATTGTGGAGAGCAGGCAGACGTTTTGTTTTGTATTATAGCAGCTATCAGATGGAATCAATACATGGGCTGCCCAGGTTGTCATGTCCGACTATCACAAGTAGAATCATAATGAAAAGGTAAAATGTGCCTGTAGCAAACGTCTTATGCCACAATAGGATAGCAACAAGTAGTCAAGATAATCAGTTCAGCTTCGGTTGCTGTTGCATAACTGCGGTCAACTCAGCCGTCTCTCGCGTTCGCTTGGTCAAATCAGCAGCTATTCATTTTTGAGTGCGCAATTAATAGTGCCTTTACGGTAAACTGACACTGTTTGACTCAGTCCTAGTTTGACTGCTACAATAAAATGAAGTAGGTTTTTTACTGTGTACTACTCTCTCAAAGTCCCTGAGAACAAACTCATGCCACTTCTGCTATATTTGATGAGATAAAATGATTTGTATCCATAAGTTCTTAATAAAATTGGTACTGTTGGACTCAGTACTTGTTAGACTACTACCACAAATACAATGAAGTAGGCCTACTTTTATTGTGTACTTTTTGAGTAATACTCTGTCAAACTCCCTTCCCGAGTACAATAATGCATGTTTTTAGCTATCTTTGATGAGAGATAAAATGGTATTTTGCCAAAAGTTCTTAGTTAAATTGATAGCCTACTGTTGGACTCCGTACTACTTGGACTACTACCACAAGTACAATCAAGTACTTTTACTGTGTACCTTTTGAGTAACACTAGGTCAAACTCCTGTCCTGAGTACATTCTTTCATGTATTCTGCTATCTTTGATAAGAGATAATATCTATATTTCAGGTATTTATTTAAATAAGAAGTGACCTTTGAATACATATTGCAAAACAAAGCCTATATCACCTGCAGGCTTAGCCAGTGTGTCTTTCTTCCTGCACTACAAGATTTCGATGTGTACACATCTGGGCCATTTATTGTGTAATTTCTCCAAACATATACAAATGCCTGTATTGGAGTCAAAAAGGTGCAGCAGAAGGACTTTAGCAGCATCATGAGAGGCCAACAAGAGTGACAGGGTGTGTCACTGTGCTGAAGGAAGGCTGTGAACAGCTATCCAGGATAGTCTCTAAAGACTTTCCAAGGGGTAACAATGCTGCTGCTGGAGTACTGATCTAGTGGATCTAGTGTTGATGTCATCTGTCTACCTTCTCCTCTTAAAATACTCTGTCTAACATTATCTGTACATTACATCACATTACATCACATTACATTACATTACATTACATTACATTACATTACATGTCATTTGTTAGACACTTTTATCCAAAGCGACTTACATACATTCAGTACTGTGGACAATTCCCACAGGAGCAATTTGGGGTGAAGTGTCCTCCCCTGATTCGAAGTCCAGCACACTATCCACTGAGCCACAGCCTCCCAGTATTGTGAACTCTTTTAACGCTTATTAAATATAGCAGAAAACATGCATTATTCTACTCAGGAGGGGAGTTTGACAGGGGATCACTCAAACACTTGATTGTACTTGTGGGAGTAGTCCAAGTAGTACTGACTCCAACAGTATCAATTTCATGTAGAACTTGTTGCAAAAAATCATTTTATCCCTCATCAAATATAGCAGAATACATGAATTATTGTACTCAGGAGGGGAGTTTGACAAAGGATTACTCAAGAAGTACACAGTAAAAATACTTTATTGTACTTGTGGGAGTAGTCCAAGTAGTACTGAGTCCAACAGTCCCAATTGTATTAAGAACTTATGGCAAAATATCATTTTATCTCTCATCAAAGATAGCTAAAAACATGCATGATTGTAGGGCTGTGCGATTATGGTAAAAATCATAATCACGATTATTTGGGTAAATAATTGATATCACGATTATTAAATACGATTATTCATTGACTTTGAAAACATCCATTTATTGAACTTTAAAACAAATACAGATAATAATTTGAACAGTATCTTTTTAACTGTTGATTACCCTGAACGTATAATTCAACTGAAAACCAATACAAAAATAAATGATACATTTAAATAAATATCAAAATAATAAATACCAATAAACAAGATCAACAAATATTTTGGAGCGCACTTCCCCAAGCTACTAAACATATGTAAATATGATAAATACAAATAAATTAGACTAAAATAAATGAGATCAAATATGTTGCAGTGCACGGTCACAACCTAGCAAAGCTAAATAATCGTTTTTTTCGATTATGTTGTTTTCGTAATTGTGGCAGGCCAAAATCGTAATTGCGATTAAAATACGATTAATTGCACAGCCCTACATGATTGTACTCTGGAAGGGAGTTTGACAGAGTATTACTCAACAAGTACACAATAAAAGTAGGCCTACTTTTATTGTATTTGTGGTAGTAGTCTAACAAGTACTGAGTCCAACAGTACCAATTTTATTAAGAACTTATGGATACAAATCATTTTATCTCATCAAATATAGCAGAAGTGGCATGAGTTTGTTCTCAGGGACTTTGAGAGAGTAGTACACAGTAAAAAACCTACTTCATTTTATTGTAGCAGTCAAACTAGGACTGAGTCAAACAGTGTCAGTTTACCGTAAAGGCGCTATTAATTGCGCACTCAAAAATGAATAGCTGCTGATTTGACCAAGCGAACGCGAGAGACGGCTGAGTTGACCGCAGTTATGCAACAGCAACCGAAGCTGAACTGATTATCTTGACTACTTGTTGCTATCCTATTGTGGCATCAGACGTTTTCTACAGGCACATTTGACCTTTTCATTATGATTCTACTTGTGATAGTCGGACATGACAACCTGTGCAGCCCATGTATTGATTCCATCTGATAGCTGCTATAATACAAAACAAAACTTCTGCCTGCTCTCCACAATGATCAATGACAGAGAACGGATGGTCAAAGTAAGGTACAAATAAACAGAATCACACGAAGCCTGGTTAGTGTTGCCTGACTTTATAAAGTGTGTTTGTTTATAAGTGTGTGGTTGCCTTCTAGTCACTTTGCTCAGCGCTACTGCTTGTTACAACTTTCATTTTCCGTACTCGCCATAAACTGTTATTATGGCTCAGGTTAATCTCGCCCCCTTCCGACGTGAGCGTGGTTCTTGGTTCTTGCCGGGCAGCCAAGTGGGGTCAGCTAAGAACCGGTGTTCGGTGTTTAGAGCCGGCTCCGCTGCGGCTGAAACAGGAAGAACCAGAGCTCAATCAGGCTGAGTGTGAAACAAGAGCTATTGAGTCAGTGTTGCGGTGCTGTTGCTTTGGTCTGGATCTGTGAGCTAACCACGCCCCGTTCATTTGCATATAAGAAATGGAAATGTGTCATTATGAAATACAAGTCCCCTGAAATAAATAAATGTGTCATTATGAAATACAAGTCTCTTGAAATAAATAAATGTGTCTGTTAGTACACATTTACTGACACAAACATTTGTATCATCTGTTGTAGACCCAAATACATTAAATAAAATAAGAACTCATTCTCAAAAAAGATAAACGCCATTCTTAAAATGTATAAACGAACAATAGTTGGATTAATATTGATTAGAGTGCACAATAGAAATAAAATAATTGAGAGAAGAAAAAGAGATATGTTATCTATCAAAACCCAGTTAGATTAACATTCATTGGATTGCACACTTTGTTTGTTTGTGTGGATATGTAGCAAATTAACATGTTAAATAGCACTTAATGACTGACTGAATGGAAATGACAATAAATGAAAATGTAAAACGAAAAAAGCGATCATGGAAATGTTTCCAATAAATGAATAAAATGATTTTTGACCACTTTGTTGTTCAGATATATCACATATTTGTAACTGAATGATGCATTCATTGAAACAAAACACAGTATGAACTGAGGAGTGAGTCCCGTGAGTTTCATGTGTTTTCTTCACTCCGCTGGGAAACTGCTCTCATGTCAAGAAGCATCAGATCAGTGCATGCGCTGCATCGTCCAATCAGTGAGCGATACACAGTAAGGGGGCGGGGCGAGTGTCTGAGGATTTCACCGGAGGATGGTC